GGCTGCCTTGGTCCCGTGCAATCTTGGGCGACGGGGTGGGGCCGGGATGCTCTCTCTGGGCTCCTCACTGTGCGCCAGGACAGGCTGGAGCTGGCCGGACTCCCTGCTTGGTTCCCAAAGTCTGGCCTTGGCACCCTGGTGCCAGGCACCCTCATCTCCTCTCACCCCTCTTCCCCCTTCCTGTTCATTCTATCCACTTTCTCCCTCCTCCTGCCTCTCTCACCCTCCTCCCCTCTCTCCATCCTGAATCAACATTCCAGCCCGGGGGAGAAAAACAGGGCAGATTTCCTTCCTCTCCCTGGCAGGGCTCCAGACAGTGACTGGACCATTGTGCGTTCTGGCCTCAAGGTCATTTCTGCCCCTACTCCCTGCCCTCCCCCCGCAGAAGGGTTACTTGAGAAAAGGCATCTAGGTGACAGGGGAGGAATGGGGCAGAGAGGCCCAGGCTGCCCTGGAGGCCCAGACTAGCTCCCAGGCATGGCTGCTGGAATCAGAGGGCCCCCGGCACCACCAGCTCTGTGGCTTTGAGGGGAGCCGGGGGAGCCGCTATCAGCCTCCTGGGTCAGAGGAGGGCCCAAGGCTCAGCCTTCAGTCTGAAACCTGCTGTGTGATGCTGGGCCAGTTCCCGCCCCTCTCTGGGCTAATTCCTGGCCCCATACTTTTCTGAATGAGTGACCTTGGGCAAGTCACCTCCTCTTTTCCTTTTTCTATCAAACAGTCTCTGCACCTGGGTCCCCCAACTTCAGCTGACAAAAATCACTCAGGCTATTTCTTTTAAAAATTCAGCTTCCAGGTCCCTTCCCTGGAGAAGCAGATTTCCTGGGCCCTGTGTATTTTTTAATTGGCAGCTAGGAGGTTGGGGGAAGTCGGTCTCTTTTCAAAAGAATGAGGAACAAGTTAGAGAATCTGTGCTCAGAGCATGTTACCCCTGAACCCGAGATGATTAGCTTTGTGATTATAAAAGCTCATACACATTTATTATTTTTTCTTGTAAGGCATTTTCAGCAATTACAATCCTCAAGAACAGCATGTATTTCATAAGGAGGCGAACCTGTGCGGTAGGGTTAATTAGATCCCCCAGGAAGGAAGCATTGCAGAAAGATGACGGGTTTTGGTTTTTCCATCTGCCTGTTGCCAAAAGCTAACAAACACCTCACTGGGGGTCAAAGGCCTTTACCAAGCATGTGCGTGCTAGATTCTTTGCTGTATTGACTCATTTAATCTTTTCAACAATACTAGGAGGTGGGCACTATTTTTATTTTTATTTTTGTAAAATATTTTTATTAATTTTTTAGAAAGAGAGTGGAAGGGACAGGGAGAGAGAAACATTGATCAGCTGCCTCCTGCACACCCCCTACCAGGGATTGAGCCCGCAACCCTGGCATGTGCCCTGACGGGGAATCAAACCGGCAACCTTTAGGTGCACAGGACGATGCTCCGACCAACTGAGCCACACCTGCCAGGGTGATGGCCACGATTATTGCCTCATTTTCACAGGTGAGCAAAGGCAGTGCCCTCAGCTGCGGTGAGTGGCCAGTTCAGCTCCTTCTGGGCTCCTAGCCTCTGTCCCTAACCACCCGCTCTGCTGAGGAACGAGGGGAACTCACCAGCCAGCATCTCCCCACAGCAGCCGTGGAAACTGGGGCCTGTGCCTCAGTTTCCTCCCTATAAAAAGGAGGAACTGGCAGTAACTACTCATAAGGGTTGTTGTAGGAATTCATTGAGACAGTGCCTGACAAAATCAATGCCTGAGATACAGGAGCTATTATTATTTTGTGGTTATTCTGTGAAAGGAAGGAATTGGACAGCCTGGAGGATTCAGTCAAGGAGCCCAGAGATGTCTAGAGAGATGGGAGACTTGGTTTTGGGGACATCTGAACCGCTACACCCTAAGGATACAGGATCTGGCTTGACCCAGAAACTTGAGCTGCCTCCTCTGTTGCTCCCTGCACCCCTCCCGCTGGCCTCATTCTGCAGAGCACAAAGCAAGACACAGCTGAATGCAGCCCCAGTCTTTCCCAGTTCCCCGCTACCGTGGCTACGGCTCCTTCCCATTGGGCTTAGGTGAGAAAGGGTATTTTGTCCAGCTTGGGAGGCAGGAGTTCTAAGTTCTGGCGTCGCAGAGCCTGCCAACTGCCCACCTGGGATCCATTCTTCCTGTCCTCCCTGGTAGCAGGACCCTGGTGTTCTTTGGGGCGGCAGTGTACCCAGGGAAAAGACTCTGCTTCCCAGCCTCCCTTGCAGCTAGGATCACCACGTGACTAAGAGCTGGCCAATCAGATGTAAGTAGAAGTTGTAGGCTGGGACTTTGGGAAAGGTTCCTTAAAAGGGGCACAGTCCATAAGCTGGTGTGGGGCTCTTGTTGCTCTTTGGCCCCTTCTTTCTGCTTCCTGCCTGGGACATGGATGAGGTGCCTGCAGCTCCAGCCACCATCTTACACCATGAGGTGATGAAGAGAATGGAAGCCCCAAGCTAAGAACAATGGCAGAAAGATAGAAAGAGCTATGTCCCTAATGACACCACAGAGCCACCGTCCCAGCTTTGAACAATTTTTTTATGAACGCTTCTTTATGTGAGAGAGAAGGAAGCTACTCTTACATATATCAGTTCCTCTTTTGTCTTATGTTAGTTTTCTCTTTGTTGCTTGTGTTATTTCCAGTCTCTCCTACTGGCCACTAAAAAGAAATTCTAACTGATACAGCTGGGCTCTAGCCCTACATGTGTCACTGACTCTTATGTGAACTTGGAGGGGTGGGGAGATGATGCACCCCATTTCCCATTTGCGGGCTGAATAGTGTTGGGAGTATGGGGTCAAATCCATCCTCAGTTTCTAGGTGTGCTGTTGCCTGGAAACCTCATATTAGAGACCACTGATTTAGGTAATAGCTTCCAAACTCTTAGTGCTCCCTAGCAGGGGATAGTCAGTGGAAAGGACTTTTGGCTCTCACCTTCCTTCATTGGCCAGAATTGGTCACATGGCCACCTGTAGCTGCAAAGGAGTCTGGGAAAGAGAGTACCTGGCGGTTCTCATCTTTTTTCATGGTAGGTAGTGCCTGCCATCATGGAAGAGGAGAGGGGAGTAGCTGCTGGGGAGCGATTCACAAACCTGCCACACTTTCTTCCCTCAGAGTATATTTACTGAGCATCCAACCTGGGACAGACAGATCCTCTACTTCAACCAGAGCAGCTTCTCTTTTATTTCATATATTAGTCTCCTCTGTCTCTCATCACACTTGCAAAAATTTTGTCTATTTTATTGTCATTTTCGAAAAATCACTTTAGGTTTTATTGACAACTCTACATTTCGTCCACTTTTGCTTTTATTGTTCTCAATTTCTTACATTTTTTCTTTGATTTATTTTGTGGACTTTTTCTAGTTTCTTGAGTGGAAAGCTTATTTGCTTCACTTTGAAGCTCTTTTATTGCTTACAATGCAGTTAAGCATTTAAGGCTATCATTCCCTCTCCAAGCATGGCTTTGGCCATGTCCCACAGATTTCTATATATAGTTTTTTCACTGCCATTTGATTCTAGTTGATAGTTTGCATTTTAATGGCCTCTATAACCTAAACATTATTTAAATTTAAAGTTTTTCAGGAGGAAAAGCTGTAGATTTTAAACTGATATCTAATTTAATTTAATTTATTTATTTTTATTTTTAAAAATATATCTTTATTGATTTTAGAGAGAGGAAAGGAGAGGGGGAGAGAGAGATAGAAACATCAATGATGAGAGAGTCATCATTGACTGGCTGCGAGCCCGCAACCCGGGCATGTGCCCTGACCAGGAATCGAACGGCGATCTCCTGGATCCTAGGTCGATGCTCAACTGCTGAGGCATACCCGGCCAGGCCTGATATCTACTTTTATAGTATTGCTATTTTAATAATATATTGACCTACCATGTAAGCTTGCATTTGAAGAAAGAGCTCTGAGGCTAATAAAATGGCTGGGAAAACTCTAGTCTACCTTAAGTCCACACCCTGGACAAACTGAGGGTCTAGTGAATCCATGGCAAATGTGAGATTATGACCCAGATTTTATAACTCATTCTGGGGGGCTTTTACCACCCACCATCCCAACTCAACATGGCCATCCTCAGAAAGGCTGTCTTGAAAGTTTCTGCAAAATTCCTCTATTAGGCCTTTTCATTCCTACCCAAACCTCTCTTTCTAACCCATCACCATTTCTGACCAACACCAAGAGTCTCTCTCTAGTGGGCATCTGGCTGGGTGGAGCCTGCGGCTCAAACCCTGCTGGTGAGAGGAGTTAAAACACACACTCCCTCTGGCTCCCACTCCCCTGATCTCTAATTCTCACCAGGCCCCATTTGCATTCACTTATTCACTGGGCCTTTGTGTGGCTCGAGGAGGAGAGAGATGTTTTTAGGGTTGTGCAGGTGATGTTCTAGAGTGACACTGGGTGGGTAGGGGGCCCCACGACATGGAGGACACAAAGGGGGCATCTAGTTAAATGGATGAGGGCCAGAAGGCGCTGGAACTCCTCTTGAAAAATTTGGTCATTGCGTGTCCTGCACACAAGCAGCTTTCCTTCAGGGCCTGGGTGATGGACTGAAGTTCAGCACAGGGGGGAGGGCCATGTCCTACAGCGCCCAGCTCTGTTTGGTGTCCAAGGGAGGGGTAGTCTTTGGCCCACTGGGAGACAGGACCCTCAGATCTAACCTGGGGAGACGTGGGAAGGGCCTGAGGTCCTGACCTTAAGCAGTGGGGGTTGCAGCCCTGTGATTTGGGCACCCCTGTGCACACACGCCCCCAGAGAATAACCTTGGGTGGGAACGGAAGCAAGTGGGCTGCCAGGGAATGGCAGGGTTGGCGATGGTGGAAGGAGAGGCTGACACGCGCTTGTGTTAACCAGGACGTTTATGGCCTCCGTGGCTCTCCGACAGCTCAGTGAAGGAGCAGGGCCCTGTCGGCTCTAACTCTACTGTGGAAGCGGAACAGAGGGCCGAGGCCACGGTGATCTTCGCTCGGGGAGGGGGGGGGAGGACGGCACGGAGAGCTCTTCTCACTGGAGGTGTCCAGGGCCACACCGCTACTCCAGGGCTGTGGGGGAGGATGGGGCAGAGGGGCAGAGGAGGCCATCAGGGAGGTAGAGGGCCAGGCCCCCAGTGCCCCCACCCCTCCTGCTCCTCTGCCCGCCCCC